CTCATTCTATTAAGCACTGCAACGGATAGACGACCTGAAATACACAGAATGATTGCTTAAATTGAGTTACTCCAATATCGGCGATATTACCTCACGTTCCTACTCACTAGTTCATTTATTTCGGCTGGATCTATCTAAGATTCCCTTTTTTTCAAACTTTCTTTTTTTTTTGCTTTACATTTCACACTCGGACCTGGCACCAACCTTCTGATCGGAAGGTGCATGTTTCATTACATTTCCAGACAAATCAAACTCATGAAGATGAATAAGCATCGCTGCCATTTTTTACATTGTTGTGCATGTTGAAATAGAAGCTATTCAAAAAACTACCAGAGCGTGCATTTGTGAGAGGCGGATCAAGCATCCGGGTGGATAGCTCTCAATTCATCGTTGGTTTCAGTTTTTAATGCAAGCTCTCAACATGCCCTTGTTGATTTTTACAAGCATGTAGGCCCTAACTTGCCACCAGAATATGACAGAACCCTTGAGTCCTTCTCTTATCACGAGATCAAAGTTGTTAACCAGTCCCCTTCCGAGATGTCCTTTTTTCTCTTTGTATGCTTGCTAATGATGCCCCTACTTCCAGTAACTACAAGCAACTGCTTGTGGCGGAAGCGCTTTCGCTTTTCCTTGAAATATCCATGCAAAACCGCCAAGAGCCTTTATTTTATTTTGAGTCCAATTTTTAGGTCTCTTAGTCTTTCCGGGCAGACCAGTCCTTCCCCTCGCTTCTTCATTTGCTTTCATGATTCACACTGCGAGTATTTCCATGTTCGACGGTTTAATCGATTCTTCATTTTCTTTTTACTCCCGTTTAGCATCAAGGTAAAACGATCCCTTGAGTGTAGACATCCCTAGAGTCCTAGTTTAAATCGACGTTCTTCTATTAAGGGGAACAAAAGTACTGATCATATCTCCGGTCATTCTTTTTTTCATTTTAAAGTCCAAAATATCTCACAAGATGCCAAAATTATCATTTTCTCGTTTTAACTCCGAAATGTATTGCGGGCATGGATCAAGTGATAACGAAGGAGCTCTGAGATATAACGAATGATTAAAGCAAGCTAAATTTTGCCCATCCTGAACGGGTGACTGAGTTCTCAAGAAGCACTGAAAGGGGAAAGTATGTTGAACTGTATTCCCAAAAGGCGACCTTTGTATACGACGGCGGTAGAGAGCAATTCACTTGAACATGACAGCAGAGTATACACTCATGCTATACTTCTCAAAGAACTAAATCTCAACAAACTCATTCATTTGTTCATTTCAGGTACNCAGAGATGTGCCTAATCTGAATGGCAGAAATACCCATAATAAAAAGCTGATATAAGAAGAGAAGTTTGTAAAAGTGTGCAATCCGAGTGTTTCACAACATAGAAAATTCGCCTTTCGAGACGGAATTTCTATGGAATGGATATTTTTATATGAATTTCTGCGATCTGATTGCTTGAAATGAGTTGAAAAAGCAGGAGCACCTGCCTATTTAGAAAAGAAGGCCAAAAAATATCAAAGATGATATGGGCCGACAGATGAACACGAGAGTCTTTCACCTTTCTCACTTCTTTCAGTGGGACCCAAGTGTGTTTGAAGGCACGTACGCAAAAAAAGTTTCCGAGGTTTCTAACCAGGACAAACCTCTGGCTTCCAGGTATGCCAGTCTGGACGTTGTCGTATTTGAAAACGACCTGGAAACACTGCGAAAAGGGCTCAGAGACCGGCTTCGTTGACGTGCACGCCCAATGGCGGACGAGTTCCAACGGCACTGTGGAGGCTGAATCATGTACAAGTGATGGAATTCCAAATATCTGGTCGTGATCCATAGCGAAAGTGGAAGGCTATTCGGGGCATTTTGGGTGCCTCACAATTATCTGAACTGTGCCTTCAAGCAAGAGAATGAGGTCCATTAATACAACTGGCACATAGGCATCCGCGAGTAGCTTACCAGGCTTCTGACTTCAGAACAAGGTAGACTACTGGTAGCTAGCCGAGCTATTTCACAGTGACCAAGGACTTCTTCGCCGAGGTCGGTCCCGACCCGTCTCTCGAATGTTCTCCAGTCGTTCGAAAGCAAGCCTTTGGCTGAGCCGCGAAAAATATCAATCGCAATAGCAATACCATACTCTCTAAATGAGTCCACCAGGGTCTCTGGGTGAGCATAGTTGGCTTTCGTAGAGCCACCTGTTCCCCTACATGGTCGCACCTCGTAGCTTCGCCATCAAATAGTGAATAGCTAATGCCGTTCAGATCAAAGAGTTGAACCCCAGGGCAGGATTTTCGACTAGACACTAAGTTCATTGCATGATCCACAGGAATGTCCTGCACTGAAGAAGCTATAATTTTGCTCTGCTGATGACACAATGACATCTCCTCCAAAATTGCGACGACTAGAGTTGATCGGCACTTTCGTAAGTCATCCCAGCAGTAGTTGTAACCATCGTGGCCTCCCAAATTAACTTTCTTTTCATCGAAGAACACGGCCTGAACGAGAATATCGGACTGTATGGCCAATCGGTAATAAAAGCTGACTTTCGTCCAATCTTTTCACAAATTCAACTTCGCAAATTCAGGTCGTGCCTTCCTCTGATGGTCGATCAGCCTTAGAGCCCTCTTCATAGCTGCGCTAACAATGCTCTTTTTCACGGTCCTCCATTCAGTAATTTTGGAGACCGAGAGACTCCGATCGAACTCGGTTCAACGACAAAGTTTTGTCTGAAATAGTTCTTAGCATTCTCCTCTCGTAGTTCGCGATAAGCTTGCGCGGGCATCCTTGACTAGTAGGGGCTCTACAGTCTTCAAATATCTTTAGACGGAGCTGAGGGATCTCACGATTCTCCTCCTAACTGCCCTCGTACTGAACCCTGTATCCCGAAAATTTTGATTTCGTGCTTTTCATCCAAAGAAAGATGACCTCCGCGAGGCAAGGTGCACACATCTTTCTAACATGTTTGCGACACATTCTCTCCTTTACAGTTCCCACCAGGTGCATATTCTGCTGCACCCGATTTCGAAACCTTTGTGCTATCGAGGGTGAATATATACTTACAAAACGGCAATAGAATTCTATTCTACATGGTCGCTTAAAGTCGGGTACGTGACATGTTTTTATGGATGTTTTTTATAGATCATATGTTTTCATGTTTTTTCAAACGACATTTATCATATCCAGAAAGGAGTTACGCACTCCGTCGCGAGGATGTATACCAAACTCTTCGCGCATTCATAATTTGATGGAAATATTCTTTTGTCTCAAAACCCTACCTTCAGATAAACTTCCGAAAACTTCCCAAAGCGCTTGAGACTGAACATAAATTTCTTTCATATTCAAAGAAATTTCTTAAAACTTACATTGCTGAATTCTATTCTCGAAAAGCTGTTGAAAGATATGATAACCATTTCACAGAGTTCATTTTGTGTCGACATCCCCAATACCGATTTTCTATCTAGCGCTCATTCACTCAGCCACCCACTCAGTAATCTCGCCCAGGTGAGAGCATATTGATTGACTTGTCTTAATGACCGCCAACATACACCATCTTTGGACAGTTGCACAATTGACATTTCGATTGTACAGCTAATACGTACAACTGTTTTTGATATAGTAGGTGTCATTGTAGAAGTGTACAATAGTTTCCTATAGTGCCCTAAAACCTTCCCTTTTATTAAGCGAATCTTTGCCCCCAGTTCCCCTTACAGGAACGTGGGGGCAATATCACTAAGAACCGGCCAAATTACGCAGTGGAGCACACACCGTTGGACGACGAGTTTAGGGCTTGCAAACATTGTGTGCGACGGGGACCCGAACCCCTCCGAACCCCTTAGTCAAGTGCAGACATGAAGCGGCTGCACTCCCTCTGCGCTATTTGGCCAGTTGAATCAATGAGCGCATAGGCCACTTTTGTGATAGTGGCTCGTAGGGCTGCCGCAACAGCAGATCGAGGTCGCATAGCTCATCGGTTTCTAATTAGTCATTTGCGCACCAACTCCCTATACTTTCTGAACATAAATGATGAAAGTCTTCCGATGAAGTGGAGGATTTGTAATGACACTATGATCTGCGTAGTTTCTACCCTACTATATATTCAACATCATCGCTTTCACCATTGAGGCTGGTTACAACTCCTGCAACTGTTCACAGATATTGCTCGCTGACCTCAGCGGCTCATTTAGTAATAACCAAAGGAGTTTCTTCGCATCTCAGCTATGGCCTAATTATTGGTGCTACCACAGTCGTTAAACTCTTTTACAACATCTACATATTCGAATGCAGCTCTCCTTTTGTACATTAATTCAATGCATCAATATTCATTATATTGCAAGGAACATTCTATAAACACCAGAGTTTATTACATACAAAGGTATGTCATCAGGAGGTGAGCTGTCTGTGAAATCATAGACCGCGTCACTCCTTGATGGGGTTCTCAGCAGTTCATCACCTAGAGGGGTTGAAGTGCGCTGCTCTCGTGCTGTGTTCATGCTGATGCGAGCTCGTCTAATTCAAGCCTTGGCGTTGATAGCGTTCTTTACTGTTTGCCACACACTTGGCTCCGATACCTTCGAGACAGTGAAGTGTTTAAATATCACCTAGGATAAGGGAATTTTTCTATGTCAGTAACATTAGTTTCGCACAATGGCTTCATTTATAGATAGATAAAAAATCACCGTCCGCATGCAGTCTTTTTTTTTNTTTTTTTTTCGCTGAGAACTTCCTTTCCTCCACGTTCTTAGCGAGCTCCGACTGGTCGTCTTTAAACAGTTCCTGCTCTATTGCCAGAGCGAACTTCATCATACTTCGGTGCTTCAGTGAGAGCAGGGTCTCTACTCGATCTTGTGGAACCAACGAGTAGTCTATGCTCTCTTCTGGATTACAATTAATAATGTTAACGAACAACTTCAAGTGATTCAAGAGGGAGAACTACCTGTCAACGCGTATCTTTCTTTTTCCTTATTTCCCTGAGCCTTTAGAGAAGCCGCTCGAAGATCTAAGCGATTTATGCGATGGTTTACTTCATCAATCTTTTTTCCGATATCGTGGAAGCCGCCTGCCATGAATCTTTCATTTGCGTCATCTGCTCCACCAGCTCGAAGACCCCTGCCTTTATTTGCTCCATTGTGTCAGTTGCGCCGTTGTTGCTTTCCGTTCCAGTGTCAATGCCATCCTGAGGATTGAAGCTGCTTTCACCAACTGTGAAGAATATCTCTACCAGTTTTCCGTCCCCAGTCACATCTCCTATCTCCTTTTCCCATTGATCTTTCGTTGAAATGTGAACAATCTTAAAAGAGCTATGCAGCAAAATCTCGAGATCTAATCATAAAGGTTTTCATACCTTGGCCGTGTAGATTTTCTTGTTCCAACGTACTTTGACGGTAGCGTTGACACTGTGACCTCCATTAATAGCCAGCAGCGGTACAATGTCAGCAGCTCTTCGATGAAATGAAGAAGACAATAGCCTGAGTATCCATGATAGTTTAGCTGAAATCCAGCCTTTCATCCTTTATATACGGCCCCGATTTTCGGCTCGATACCCGTGAAACGCCCTTTTCTGAACCCAAAATGCTGGACCGTGACCTTTGCTGTCGTTGAAAACGTCTCTACTAAAACTGCAACAGGCCAACACAGTCGCTTTGTTCGCAATCAGCTATAGCTATTCGTACTTGATGTCTCTTATTCGCGACAGTAACAATATTTTTCCTATGCACCGCTCCGGAGAGTCAACTTCGGAAATTCACAACCACTGCGAGCTATGGACTGAACGATCACCTATCACAAGGTTCGAGTTTTTTTGCGGAAGCATTATACACGTGGTTCCCTTGTGAAAAAGTTTCATATCGAGCTCGGAAACACCGCTTTGTATTGCACACCATCAAACGCATCATTGTGGACAGCTATTCGGCCACCAACATGCTGACTCCACTGAGACGGCATCGATGCCACTTGCATTCTCGGAAGCGGGTCTGGAAATAAACTTCTCGCTTTTTGCTGACACCGGGGTTGCAAACATATCTACTGTGCACGTCTCCCAAGTACTATTTACTTCCGCAAATATTTTATCTGAGATGCACCAATCGTCTAACTCGACAAGTCTTTAAAACAAAATCCGTTTCGGAATTAAAGGATATCGGGATCCAAACAAACTCTACACGTGAATTTAAGGTCGAACACAGATCCCATAAATACTGAGCCAGCTGCTGTAGGTATGATTTAAGACTTCCTTTGGACAAAATACGGACCGCGCATTGGCTATCACAATGCCACAAGCAGGATTGGAAAGCCAAAAATTTGGGAAATTCTTCCAAACTAGTCCGAATCCCAAACAACTCCTTAAAGGTAAACGACATACCAGTAACCTGGGTGGTAAAAGAGGAATTTTGGAGTTTTGATCCCATATCTGAATAAAATCTGCTCCAGATCTGAATTCCGAAGCATCGGAAAATGCGTAAAGAGCCTACTCCGAGACTTGTGCTGTGACTGCTATTGGCACCACTTTGAAAGACGCTTAAAATTCCAGCCAGCTGAATAACTCAGATTTTTCTTGTACAGACAATTTCCATCGAAACGACAGAGCGGAACTGTAGGCATGTTTACTGGCCACTTGCGATATAACCGCACGCCATCTTTTCTTGATATCTGACTAAATGTATGGAAGCAATACAGCCTAGCCATTTCAACCTGTCTAGCAACGTTGGACCCCTACTTTTCAGCAGGTGAAAAGTAAGAGTTTTATCTTTCCTTTCCATTGTTATACCCAACGTGAATTCTTTTAAATCAGTTGTATGCCCCAACCACGTGATTCTTTGGGTTGGACGCCACACACATTTCTCTTCGGCCATAGCAATTTCTGACATTTTCAGGTCCTGCCTGACCCTTCTGACATAATCCTGACATAATTGAGCTGAACTAGCCCAAATGAGGCCGTCGTCTGTATATAAGGCAACCGATATACCTTCCTCCCTCTTTCTGAGGAGGGATTTAAACATTTTGGTAGAAATATAGTGGGCAGGCCCCAAGCCAAAAGGTAAAACCAAAAACTGAAAAAAATTTTGTCTCCTTTGGAAACCCAGGTATTTGTAAAACTCGGATGAATGTTTATATGATGATAACCAGATTTGAAGTCAAACGAGGTCATGTATCCGTCCGGGGGAAGGAGAGGCAAAACTTTTACCACATCTTCGTATTTCACTTTACGCTTCCAGATACTTTTTCAGTAAAGATAAACCCAATATAAGCTGCAGCTTCTTACCTTCGGCTACTGAGAGAGGGTTGATTCTTGAAGTTTCTTCATTATGGACTTGTACGATGGCTTTGCTATGCAGAAGCTTATTGACCTCCGAATCTACAAATTCATAATATTGGTAAGATGAAGCTGCATTGTCAGAAATGAAGCCCAGCTCTGGTTGATGGTAAATATTTGGCAGGAATCCCTGCTGTATCACTGACCGCGTCAGATATGAAAGGCTAAAATCCAACTAGAACTGACCATGGCAATAAATTCTGCTTGCTCCAAACTCAATTTCCGACCCTTGCCTTGCACAGCGGGGCAAGGTGTCCAAAATCGCCGCACTCGTAGCACATGGGTCTCTGAGCCCCTGGCTGAAGTTCCTGTTAGGTTCCATCTGCTTGATTTCGAAGCATTTCTGTTGAAATACAGCGAGAAAGTGTTAGTGTCAGACGCTGGGGACCATGTCGCTCCTCCCCTTCGAAAGGGCTGGCTTGCTTTGCCTCCATACGGCAGAGTTCGTGCCCAAACCGGCTTCTTGGCTGGCCCCGGAGCTTTCTCTTCCGACTTCCCTTTCTTCAAAAAAAAAACTACTATGATCGAACTTGTGAATTCTTGAACCTGGTTGCGGCGCTCATAGTATTCCCATATGAACTCGTCAACGTCTGCCACCACTAAAAGTTCATTCCTTTGCGCCAGCGCTGCAATGGCTTGGCCGAGGTTTTCCCTGATCCCATCGTCGTGTGGCGCAAACTCCATAACCGGTGTAAGGAGCTTCAGCATGTTTGAGTTGAATTCATATTTTTTGCCGTAGCTCATCGTTTTGAATGTAGGAGTGGTCAACGTGCCGGATTGAGCACTGCCAAGGGCCGACACCGGCACCAAGCTACTAATGGCTCTGGCTATAGCCTCCTCCAACGGCTGCGCTCCTGTCTGCTGCTACTGTGCTGAGGCTGGAATAGCCGGTTGATCTGGAGGTGTAAAAGAAGGTTGCATTGGCTGTGAGCTTGCCTGTGAAGGGGCAATTAGCTGTCTTGATTGGTTAGACGCCTAGCTAAGAGCTCTTCAAAGTTCGCTCAAGAAGGGGCGACCTGTGCGCTAAGCTGCGCTTGATTGCTTCCTTCCGATGCCATCTTAATAGAGACTAATCAGGATAGGCTATAAGTGTACGAATAGAAGATATAAACAGACTTGAGTAATAACGAGGTATGATACCCAGTGATGAATATCAAAAATAAACACAACACGTCTCATCCGAGCCTGTCTCACTGAATACCTAAAAGAGAGAAGCTTTCTGTACGGACTGATATAGCCTTATGGCCATTACACTGCAAAGAAACGACCATTGCAACTGTCCTTCTCAAGACTGACACACACTAAAAACCACTCAATGATAACTCTGCCTCTGCACCTTGCGGGAAAAAGCCACTGTAGGTTCGAAGGAACTGCCCCTCCGATAAAAACAACTCACTTTAGAGTTTCTTCTGGTTAGTAAATTCTGGCAGTGAAGTGTTTCGATACACTTGTTGCACAATAACAACGTCGAGAGCGAAGTATGAAATAGCTAAAGTGCCAGTAACGAAGCGAAGATCCAAAGCCTGCAACGAATNGGCTGCAAAATAGGCTGGTATTGCAAAATAGCCTCTGCCGAGTAGTCTCACCTAGACTAGTCAGCTAACTGGAAACCTGTAGCCTAATAACTTCTGCCAGGCCGATGCCCCTCGATGTAATGCACCGCTCTCTGAAAAAACTTAAGGCCGTAAAGAGCTGGTGAGATAAATCAATAGAGGCATAGTGTCAAGGCTCTGCGAGGCCTTGAACAAACAGTACACGGTAACAGCAGATGAGCTCACAGAAGGCAAAATCGAAGTTGGTTCTATCCGTATCGAAGGTGAGAGAAATAGGGCAACCGTTGAAAACCGGACTACAAGCGGGGAAAACTTTGATGTCCCTGATTTGTGGAATCCATGCACTGCCTCTCCTTAGGCTAGCGAAAAATATATGCGAGGGCCAAACGGGGAAACCCAAGATTCCCTTACTTCCCCTAGCTATCGCGTTTAAGTCGTCCTAGCGATTAGCTTTGACGGAGGAACCTACCGTATAAACTGCGCGTTCCACCAGGGCCACACCGCTGCGGAAAAGGCGTCCCTTGCCGTTGCATTAGTCGATCCACATTTGGAGATGAACAACCTGCACTTTGTGCTGTGTTCCGAGGCAAACATGTATGACGAACACTCTCCCCAAGCCCTCTGCAATTCCGCCGATATTCCCCCTCTTATGCTCCAGATGTCCAGATCCAATAGTCGGGATACATCTTCCGCGGCAGTGTTAAACCCCCTGCGAACCCAGGAAAATTCCACTTTCAAGGAAAATTCTTCGCACGCTCCCCAAATTTTCTGAGCTATGTCCTGAAGTCACCAACCTTTAAGTTCTGACCTCTACTCTTTTGTTAATGGCCATCTGAAAGAGAACGGCGTACCCATCTTTTCCTTTTCAGCGATTGCCGAGGCCGCGGCCCTCCACTGCCGTCTCTTCTCTAAAGGGATTATAAAATGTATGAAGGCGAAAGTACTTTGCCATCTCAATCTATCTACGAGAAAGAGACCTCTCGTCCGAAGCAACCTCCTCGCTAGGTCACGGACCTTTTCCTCCCTATTTTTGGTGACGTTCAGCGTATAAGAATGCAGATCGATATCGTGACCGAACCATGAGAGCTTCTGGAGCGGAATCCAGGAACATTTTGCTTCGGCTACGAAGAAGCCGGCAGTCTTCAGATCTTTTCTAACCCTGTCCACGGATTCTTCGCATTCAAGTGCGGTATTGGCCCATATAAGCCCGTCATCTAAGTAGATGGCAATATTGATTCCCTCTGCACTCCATCTCCCTAAAAGGGGCATCATGAGTTTTGTAAATCCCATAGAAGCGGAAAAGAGCTCGGATGGGAGCACTAAGAAATTTTATAGCTTCCCTTTCCAGCAAAATCCTTGAAGATCGGTCCAGGAAGAATGGATTCTCACGTGGTGATATCCGGACCTGAGGGACGGGAATCGAACTCGGGCCGCCCGCNGCATTCTACCACTGAACCACCAATGCACCAAAAATTGTCCCCGTTTGGGGACAAGAGTTTTTCGGTTTGTGGCTCACTAGCCTTTACCCTTTTCTCGGGTGGTATGTATGTTCACAGTAGCTTTGTGCAAATTTATTGAAAGCACGAAAAGGCCCCGTATCGGCGGTGCAGCGGGTATTTATACCCAGCCGATACGGGTTGACAAACAATCAAAGGTCAATGGGTAGCAATTATTCTTCATAGTTATCAATGGGTTTATGATGGCAATTTCAGTAGAAGGTTATCAAAGGTCAAAGGGTCGCGCAGAGCGCGACACCACTAGCGAGTAAATCTTTCAATTCAGCATTAACAAAATCTCTATAGTCGAGTCGTAGCTGAATTTAGCCTCACCAAATTCCTAAGCTGATCATCACTGAGGAGAGGTAAAAAAATAACCGTCCAACAATAATTTCCTTACAAAAGGGGATAGGAATACAGAAGACTAGAATGGCCAATTGGAGTGGATACTACAGCAATGAACTGACTTTCACATTTTATTTGGGGTCCTGCAATCCCGGACGAAGTGCCCGAAGCGCTCGCAACTAAAAGACTCACGTCCCTCGGCCTCCCGGCCTGACGGAATCTTGCTGGAGCAGCGCATTGCCGTCGATCGTACGCAGGTAGATTCTGTTGAGGGTCGCGGGCCCGGGTTGCCTCTCCATATCGAAAGGGCTGTCGGCCCTGATATGGGGGCGCCCCCTCGCTCTCCACATTACCGATCGCATCGTAGGAGCTCTTTTAACTTCCTTATTCCTTTTCTCCCTCAAAAAACCTGCCGGAATCGGATTCGAAGTATTCAATTCTTCCGCCCGGTTGTGTTGATCGTAGAACTCGAAGACATCCGGATCGTATCAGCGACGAGCAGCAGCTCGTTTTGTGCCGTCAACTTTGCGAGAATTCGGGCCCGGATCTTCTTGGCTTCGCTCCCTTCAAGCATCGCCTCTGCCACCAGTGAAATCGACCTGATCAGCTCTGCGTTAAATTCAAATTGTCCTATCTTTTTGAAGTTCGGTTCCGTAGAACTTCCCGCCTGAGATGGAGGAGCTGCCGCCGGATTAGTCCTCGCCGAAATAATCGCATCCACTCTTGTCTGCTCGAGTAGTTCGACCAACTGATCCTAACTCATCTGCACGATATCTTCTTCTACTTCGGGAACCGGGTCCTCTCTGACGATTTGTTCTGCCATAGCGAATAGACTAAACTGCACCAGTGAATACAGCTGCACACAATCTAATAAAAAGCAGTAATGGGGTACCTAACACCTTCGGAGGCAGCGGCCCTAGAAGACCGCCCATCAACGCGGGAAGACGCGCCTCGGCGCGCGCTGCGGCAGACGCGAGTTTCAAAACTACACTTCGCTGTCTACGCAGTTTCCCAAAGGGAGAGGAATGGATGATTCATATGGAACGCTGTGTTGCCGATTCACTAGAAAAAGGCTGGCCTTCGGATCCAACTTCAATCGTCATTCAGCCAGTAAAAGAACATGATTCTGTTTGGATTCCGGATGGCGAAGCAGCTCGTTGTATGACTTGTGGTAGCACACAATTTAATTTGTACAAAGAAGAGTGAGTGTATTCAATTACCGACGAGAACCTTTTGAAAAGTATTCCTTTTAAGCAAATTTTCCTCCATTACAGCATCACTGCCGTGCTTGTGGCCGTGTGATTTGTGATGCATGCTCAACACATTCCTACCGCTTCGATAATTTAAATAAGAAACCAGTCCGTGTCTGTGATATGGTAAGCGATTTACGATTTTATGGAAAAGCTTTTTTATTGGCTAGGATGATTTTCACTTAAACTAATGTTCAGTACACAGTGAAACTCGCCTCACTGGTGTGACCGCTGATAAAGCCGCTAGGCAAGCAAATGATGTTCAAGGCAGTCGAGAGCCTCCTTTACCCCCTCCGAAACCGAGTACGATTGAAATGGGCTACGATGGTGGATCATCTTCTGAAACGGATGAGGAAACTAGTACAGATGACCACTCTATGAGAGCTAGTTTGGTGAGCGTCTTCTAATTGAGATATTTTTTTGAACACTTGAAGGGTAGACCTTACTCACTTTTTACTTCGGACTCGTTTTCTAGAATGAGATGTGGGCCAAGTTGATGTTAGAACGTACGGATTTTTGTACATGTTCGAGTTTCAATCTAATAGGTTGAGAGAATTTTTATCGCTCACGCATATTTAGTGTTAAGAAAGGTAGCTAGAAGGTAGCTAAAGGTAGCTTCATTAGGTTTTGTGAGCCACTAGCCCGTTCTTTCACTCAGTATATCTTGACCTTGTGTTCTTTTTTAGAAGCAAGATAGGCTTCGCATCTTCGGAGCTGTTCTCATTTTAAACCACTTGACTCTCGATAATCCCGTACATGATCGTTGGCATAATTCCTTAGCCATGTCTTTAATAAGGTTTTTTTGCACTTCCTACAGATTCAGTCACAGGTTTCCGGACTAAGCTCATCTGTTAATAGGTTCTTCTGCATTTCTTGCTTTCTAGATACTGGCCTTCTCTGTCTCGGTCAGTATCACCATTTCGTTGCCTCTGTTGTTTCGTCGCTTAAGTGTAGGTGCTGTCACAACCTGAGGCTTTTTTATATGAAAAGGTTTTGTGAAAATGTAGTTGGGGGGGGGGGGGG